ATATTGTGAACCACAAAAAAAGGGCAAAAAATCACATATAGTAGACCGGAGGGAGTACTAAAGTTAAAATGTCTGATTTGGTGTACACAACCGGATGCCGATAATTAAATATTTACCAGTACTATAAAGTATAGTATGCAGAAAATTCAAGTAATTATTACACTATCAGCCCATGCCCACAAAAAAAAAAAAGTACTGTTTATCTCTTAAAACATTTAGCTGTAATGGTATATAATTAATGTATAATTAGTATATAATGTACATTATACACTTGTTAAATTCACAATAACAAAAAGATATTTATAATGAATCATAAATTTCTCGAAAATGGGTTGGGTAAGAGTAAGATTAATGGCCTATTTGGCCAAACTTCTAAAATCAGCTTATTTAGAAAAATACTTTTTTCAGAAGTGCTTTTCTCAAAAGTACTTTTTAGTAAGAAGCATTCGTGTTTGGTTAATTAATTTGAAAAGCACTTCTGAGCCGCAATTTGTGTTTGGTCAAACTTTTAAAAAGTGATTCTAATAGCCTGTTTGGCCAAGGTTCTTTTTTGGCCAAAAGTGCTTTTTTGGTCAAAAGTGTTTTTTTGCCAACATTAAGGTATTTGGTCAAGCTTTTTGAAGGAAAAAGAGTGCTTTTGAGTATAAGCAGAAGCAGTATTGGAAAAATAGAAAAAATTAGCTTCTCTCCCAAAGTATTATTGAGAAAAATACACTTAGAAGCACTTTTAAAAGCTTGAATAAACATTAGTTGTTGCTCAAAAGTGTTGTTCAAATTAATTAGTCAAACACATTGCCTATTTGACCAAACTTCTAAAATATGCTTATTTTGAGAAGTGTTTTTTCCAAAAGTGCTTTTCAAAAAAAGTACATTTGGTGAGAATCGGTTTGTGTTTGACTAATTAATTTGAAAAGTACTTTTGAGCAAGTGCTTCTTAAAAAAGTACTTTTGGAGAGAAGCTACATTTTTCTGCTTTTCAAAAAATGCTTTTACTTTTCCTCAAAAGTACTTTTTTTCTTCTAAAAGCTTGGCCAAACACCTCAATTTTTTGTCAAAAATACTTTTGGCCCAAAAATAAGCTTGGTCAAACAGTTGAAAAGTACTTTTGAGAAAAGCGCTTTTCAAAATAAGTAGATTTTAGAAGCTTGGCCGAACGGGCTATAAGTGTATTTTTTTCAAAAGTGCTTTTCAAAAAATTGTTTCTAGGGAGAAGCTAATTTTTTCTGCTTCTCCAAAACTGCTTCTGCTTCTACGCAAAGGAACTTTTTTTTGTTCTAAAAGCTTGGCCGAACACTTCAACTTTGAAAAAAAGTACTTTTTTTTTTTAACTTGGAAAAACTTGACCAAAAAGCTTCTAAATTTACATGCTTTATTTGTTAAAAAAAAGAGAAAAATCATAGCAAATAATTCTAACTCAAAGTCAACAAGATTCTCGTACCCACAAAGTCTACCCCTATTGAAGAAATCTCATGCACACAAGTAAAGAAAACATGCAAAAAGGGTCGATTTCAAAGAGATATTCCCCTATACAGTGATTAGGCAGCCAAACTTCAAAAGGCTCAATTACCACCTTTTGAATTGCTTGTAAAATTACCTTTCAATTATAAAATTAATATATATGGTTAAAGTGAGAAACTAAAACAAACCCCTTTTTGAATTGCTTGTAAAAGACATTCAATATTACTAATATGAGGAAGTAAAAATGTAAAAGAAAAACACACCCTTTTTATATTGCTTGTAAAAGACATCCAAACAAATCAATGCATATTTAATAATTTTTACACTTTTATATCAAGGATAACCATGTGTAAAGAATTTTTACCTAAAAACTTAAGTTTAACTTCTATACGCCAGCAATGCAAAATAATCTTTATAATATTAAATAGGTCATTTCAATCAAGCAATTTCTCATAATTAGTGAAACTATTTACATGAAAAATAAGATATGAAACCTGCTACATTCGGTTAATACACTGATAGTATGAAAATACTTACATTTTCTATGTATATAAGCTAAATTCTGAAAAAATAGGAATATTATGATATTACAACAGATTAATCTACACTGGAAAGAAAAATTTTATTTACACTGTCAGTGTATATAAGTTAATTAAATATATATATATATATATATATATATATACACACACACGTTGCAGTCAAGAAGATTCTTGAGGTTGATACAATAACTCAATCGAAACTCTACCAAACTTTGATTTTTGAACAGTTGCTTTGACATTATAAACTATAAATACACACTATCAATTTCATTTCTTAGACATAAAATTTGGCAAAATTACAATGGCAACCACAATAAACTCAAATATGGCTGTAGTTAGTAAGGTGTTTTGTTCATCTTCTGAGGTAGTTCTTGTTGTCCGAAGGCGCCCACATGTTGTGAATGGTGGTGGTTTTATTGTCACTAATTGTGCACAAAATGTTATTTTCAAAGTTGATGGATGTGGAATTCTTGGGAAAAAGGAAGAACTTATTCTCAAAGATAGTTATGGACATGATTTACTTCTCATCAGGAAAAAGGTAACATTTGGCAATAGAAGCAATATGTATTTTCAACTATCATGCATGTTTCAATCGTGAAATCAGCTACTGATGCTTCATTTAGGGCAGGCTGCCTACGTACACCCCTTGGGACGTGGTCATCCTCTGAACCTACATGAACGCGAGATGCTTCATGCATCATGCTGCCATGTGCATATTTCAATCATATGGCCTTATTTGTGTTTCTAGGACCAAATTTAGCATTTTTCGTCACATTTTATTTCTATGACATATGTGCATAGCCGTTGAGTTATTTTTTCGTGACAAAAATTAGTTTTTTGACTTTGTGCATGAAACTAAAAGTTGGATGACCATCTGTGAAATTATTACGGCGTCTATAAAACAATTCTGAAGGAATTTATTTGTGACTTATATACCTTCAATTTTCAGGGAGGAGTAATTGAAGCATTAAGCATGCAAAGGAAATGGAGGGGTTATAGTAAAGATTTTGAAGGTTCTGAAAAGTTGGTGTTTTGCTTGAAAGAGCCCCAAAACTCTTGTTTCTTGAAGAAAATTCCAATCAAGATTTCCATTGAACAAAAGGATTACAATGATCATAAGAATTTTCAGATTGCTGGCTATTTCCCTGATAGAGCTTGCAGCATTATTGACTCCTCTGGCAATGTAATTGCAAAGGTAATTGATTTCAAGGTTAATGGTGACATGTTTTTCATATACTTTTCCTTTCTAATTTGGTTAAAAGCGACAGTCCGTTGCACAAAGTAATCCGCATTTACACAGGGTGGTCCGGGGAAGTGCGGCACCCCAAGGATGTGATGTAGACAGCCTACCCTAATGCAAGCATTAGTGGCTGCTTCCACGATTCGAACATGTAACCTATAAATCACACGGAAACAACTTTACCGTTGCTCAAAGCTCTCCTTCTTCCTTTCTAATTAGGTTGAACTTTAAAAAACATGAAAATGCAACTTTCCAAGAATGTGGCTCCTCCTTCCTTGATCACGTCAACTGTGGCATTTTAATAGCTGGGTAGATTTGGATACTTTGCTAACGGTAGGGGTGCTTATGTCTGTAAAGTATAATGGAGGTTAAATATAGATAATATTTGAATGTAGAGGGATAATTCTGACCCTTTTTCCTAAATCTTTTTATGAATATAAAGTAAGCAATGGAATATTGCAGGTTGGAGCTAGGAAAGAGGTACAGCAAGTGATGCCAAGCAATGATGTGTATACTGTAACAGTTAAGGCAGGAATAGATCAAGCTTTTGTTGTTGGAGTTATTGCTATTCTTGATTACATATATGATGGATCTACCAAATGCTAGTTCCTTTTCTATGTCTAATTAATGGCAAAGAAGAAAATGATCACCTCTTCCTAAAGTTGCAGAATATTAATATTCTTGTTGTCATCTTCAATTAGAATTGGCAATGCTCATTTCAAGCTTTAACTTTGTGTGTTTCTAAGTATTTCTATAGATTGCTACGTCATGTTTTTAGTTACTTTGAATTATATTCAATGAGTGTTTCTATATGTTACTGCTTCTTTTCCGTTATTCTATCTACTACTGTATTTTTTTTCAACAATATTGTAACTTCGCTTCTACTGAGCCGAGGGTCTATCGAACAGTCTCTCTACCTTTATAAGGTAGGGGGGCGTATATACTATCTTTTCGAGACCTCACTTGTTGAATTTACACTGGGTTTGTTATTGTTGTTGAATGTTTATATATAATTTTGAAGCAATTGGTCACGTAATCTCTATGAGGCTTTCGTTTTCGTGTTGTTTCTTCCTTCAGTTGGAATATATATGTGTAATCCTACAAAAACTTGAGTTTCAAAAGGAAAAGCGACTGCTTTTTATTCTCTCCACTACTAAACTTCATATCATCCTAGTCAACACGACACGTCTGTAAAAATAAAGAATATTGAAGGATAGAATGCATGCAAAAATCAAAATATATGGTTCAAGTAATTACTATATTTTTATTTACCACGGAAGGAATAAAAGAATCATATCCTTTTGTGGCAGAGACAGAAACATTAACCGTACTATGAAAGAATTCTAGTCTTTCAAGATTACTAGTTGATTCAGAATTAAGGCAAGAAATGAGAAATATGAAAATAAGAGCTTCCATTCGCAAAATTTGTGTAAATCTCGACTAATCAGTTGGCGGGGTAGTAATCATACTATATCTTAAACCTTCACTATAACCTCATATCAAAGTTACAAATTACAACCTCAACTGTGTAGTCAATGGTAAAATTGCCACTGGAAATTGCACGTCTTTGATTCTTTAGAAGTACACCGAAATTAGAAACTGGTTTGATTCTTTAGAAGTACACCGAAATTACAAACTGGAAGTATAAAATAGCTAGTCACGATAGCAATACCAGTGTTTTAAAGAAAGAGATGAGTTTAAAGTGCTGGAATGGGGTCATTTCCGCTGCAACGTTTTTCCCCTTATACCCAATAAACAGATTGAAGCACGTAAAATTCAGCATGAAATATAAATATAATCCCGCGCAGTTGCATTCAACATTTTTGTGAAAATAAGATGATCCCGAGAAATGTTACATTCAATAACTTGAAACTCATTATCAGCATATGCAGAAGGATTCTGTCTATGCCCACCAACTGACATCATATGGGATCTTACAAGTCATGATAGCGAACATACATTTCTAAGAGAAACAGACTATCCTGAGGCTAATCAGTCACGCTCACTGATGGCTGTTAAGTGCTCATCAATTTCCTCGGTAGTTAACACTCTGAAGACGGGATCTTCTTTCTTCACAACACCAACCTGCAAAGGACCAGAAGAGATTATGATATGAAACACTACTGCCTCTTTTTCATGGCTATTTCACTACAGTATTTCTTTTAAACAATGTTGCAACGCTTTGCTTGAGCCGAGGGTTTATCGGGAACAGTCTCTCTACCTTCACAAGGTAGGGGTAAGGCTGCGTACACACTACCCTCCCGAGACGCCACTTATGGGATTACACTGGGTTTGTAGTTGTTGTAAGCAGTGAAAATAAGCAGTTTCAAATCCTAAGAAGCACTACAATACACTTAAGACAAGTCAAAACAATTGTGTGATAAAGGTCTCATGTCTTCCGTTCTGAAATGATTTGTTCTAATCTAATTGCTAGTTATATGAAGAAGATAGTGCAACTACACAACCATATCCATTCAGGAAATAATGGATATACGCAAATATCTTAATGTCATTATCATATCTCGTGGCCGTGCGATAGTAACGCTTCCAGGTGCAACTCAAGTAATTGCATATAGATCAATTCCCAAACAAGAAAAAGAAAATGACTCCCGCCCTCCCCCTCAAGTGGTGATCAACACTGGCAATAATAATAACTGCAATAACCAAATGGCGGGTAATATAGACAAATTACCTCAATTTCACTGGCCTTAAAATCCTCTTGCAGGACAGATTGAAGAGCAGAAATTGCAGTCTACAGAACAAAAATAACGTTAGTGTATCCTTCTTCAACTTTAATGTCAGACCTCATATGTAAACAATTCTAGCAATTACATAGAACATGATAAATTACAACTTTGACAAAAAAAAAAATTATCCTCAGTCTCAATCAAACACAGAACTTCTACAACTTATGTCAAACAATATCTGCTCAACTGTAAGCACTAGCCAATTAAGAGTTTTAAAGTTTCATGCAAAAGAATCCATTTACCTAGCCAGTATATGATGGAGCCACTTCCCGATTTTATTAGGACGTTATATCAACATCTTAAATTCACCTTAGCAATATTACAAAAATATTTTTTCTAGTTCTATTTTCTATTGAAACGTCTATAGTCAATTAGACAACAAAATGAGAAATTCTGTAACTTAGCTAGTACATACAGCGAGGAATGGAACACCAGCACAATAGTAATATAGATTGGAAAAGGTTGAATCCTAATTCCTAGCTAGGCAAGTTGCTACTCTTCTTGGGTACACTCTTCTCTAACTATGACTTATTTGAACTGTGATTTATCTAGAGAGGTTCCAAAATCTGAATAATGAATCACCAGAAAACATCTTTGCAATTGTTGTTACGTGGCTAAAAATAGGTGATGTTTGAATTTTATTCCAAAGATAACAAGTGAGAATGTAAAAGCTCATCAAAACAGAGGCAAGGTCTCAATACATGACAACTCTACACCAAATAACCTTCAATTCAGAGCCCATAGAATCTTACACAAATACTCAATGCAATATCAATATAACCTAGAGACTGGAAATTCCAGCAGTAGCAGAGACTTGAAGAGAAAGGAGAGTGAAAACTGCTAAAAATGGGATATAAGGAGAATGGAAGCCTTAAACCACGTCTGAACACTCCCTTTCCTTTTACCTGAACAGTTTCCTCATAGGAGAAAGCAGGGTCATTTTTCATTTTCTTCTCCAAAAAATTAATTGCCTCTTGTTCTTTAGATCCAGCACTTGTAGCCTGCACGAGATCGAAAAATGGAATATGGAATACCATCATGAAAAAGAGCCAGAAGAGTTTCAATACTTCAGAAAAATCTCAAGACAGGACTCAAAAGCCCTTAATATCCTCTCATAAGCTATAGACACAGCAGATTATGGGAGCATAACTAAAGTAAGCAGTCACCATTTGCTAGTTATTACTGGATAGGACACACTGTTCCTACTTTTGGGTCATATAAGGGTGAGCGTAAGCTACAATTAAGCATTGAAACAAAGAGCAAGAAACCATAAAGTAGCATCTACTTTTCAACTCGCTCAAAAATCGTCTCATGTGCATGCTTCTAAACTACATATATATATTTCTCAAAATATAGTGGTTCAAGGTGCCTGTATGTTCCTGTGCTGTGAAGGATTCACAAGACAACATTTCCATCTCAAATGAGTGTCACTCATATCATCAACATATATGTCACAGTTCTCCCAGTCGTTATTAAACATGGGTCCAGGATTCTTCCTGAGTGCTTAACAGCACAACCATCTGTTAAATTAGGAAACGAGTTGTCAAGACCTACTCAGTGCTCACATGTCATGGGTTCAACCTCGCTCATCTATAACCTAGCCTCCAAATCGAAGCTCAACATTATCTAAAAAAAGAATGCACATCTCAAGCATATGAAGCTGAGCTGTCATGCCAGAGTACCTAAGGCACAATTATCAAACATGCATTCAACTTACAAAATTTCTTGTACCATGTTCACCTACAGATATAGCATTTATTTCATACTGAATAAGTTGGAAAATGCTGGTTAAAGGTCACCCTCCCCCCT